TATATGCCATAGTAGCCCGTTGACGTTGTCCCAGGATCCTGTTGAACCTCTTAAAGAAATCAGACATAAAGCCTGGCTCCCGATAATGTCGGATCAGCTCACTCGCGCCAAATCGACGAAAGACACATTCTTCGTAAGTCTCGGCGAGCGTTTGAGCGGATCTAGAGGCGCTGGCTTTGGCGATCACATATCCTGAGAATAGGTCCACAAAGATCAGCAATTCAGTGTTGCCGTTGAAGGATCTAGGCAGTGAGGGTATATGATCCATGGCAATGATCTGAAATGGGTACGTTGCCTGAAGGTTACCAGGCGACTCGCCCTGGATCCGAGGTCTTCCCTTGTCTCACAGTCGACACATCCCCCCACGTATCGTTGTACACTCTTAAACAGACCTCTCCAGTGGAAGTGATCACGGATCCGATCATAGGTGCGGCCGACCCCTTGGTGACCGCCCTGTAGACTCGTATGATAGTGGTGCAGAATGTCCTGTTGAAGGGTCTCAGGTGTCACTAGTCGCATCAGCTTATCTCGATCTGCGGCAGCTTCCTTAGATGTCGGGCAATAGAAGAGTAGATCCAGCTGATCCACTTCGTAATTCATGACAATAGATCCGAAGGTCTTAGCCTCTTCTTGTGGCAGATCCCGGATCTCCCCGATCAAATACTTCTTCAAGACCATGATCCACGACTCCTTGTCCTGCGCTTGTCGGATCCGCTCGATCCGTAGCTCTCTCACGACTTCCTCTCGCAAGGAATCTGGATCAGCTCCCACACGCACCCCCCCGATCTAGCCTTAGATCGGGTCGTCACCGCTGATACCCGTACGGTTTCTTCTTCGACTTTCACTATCAGGATCTCATCCAACCTATTTAACCCCCCCCCGCCCTTACGGCCTTTTCGACTCCCTCGATATACGTCGTGATGGAGACCAGGCGCATTCCCGATACTACAGGTCAGCACTCCCATTCCAGCCCCGTTTGACGTGCAATAGTTCATGATCTGGCCACGTACGTAGTCGACCCAAGGCTCGCTGATGTAACAGTGTTAGACCTGGCGCCTTACAATCGATCTCTCCTCGTACTTGTCGGATCACCAGGTTTGAGTCTCCGCAGTTCACCAGACGCTGTGGATCCAGATCCTCCAACAGATCCAGACACAGTAACAACCCATGGTATTCTGCCTCATTCACCGTCAAGCCTTCGGCATACCCTGATCTAGCTTTCAACAGTTGTGTATTCAATCGTTCACAACGTTCCTACGCTCCTACGCTCCCTATAGCTCAAACGCACCCATGTCGCTGTCTGCACTCACTTCGTCATTGTCACCGTCGGTCTCCTTGTGTTCTTCAGCGGTGGAAGCCCCATCTTCACTGTCACCAGCTTCAGCATCTCCTGCCACATTCGACTTGGATTCTCCCTCTTTGCGACGGCGACGGCGCTTCTTCCCAAGGGCCCGCATCTGGATACCTCGGCCAACACGAGGCGCTGGGCGCTCCGCACCATTCTTCCACATCAGGTGCCAAATTTGGTGGCACGTTGCAGTGTTGTTGCGGTAATTTCCGGGACGGATGTGATCACATAGGTACACACTGTTCATGACAACACGTAAGATAAAGACTCTTGTAGTTCACAATTGGTCACATACTGTTTATTGCCCTCGCTGCACGCCTCGCAGTAGAACCTGGTGGCACTGCGCTGACCAATCTTCGTCTTCCGAATAGAGCAAACCTTGCATTGGTGCTGCGGCCGCTTTCGAAAACCCTCACGAATTTGCACCCAGTCTGGAAACTCCATCAGTCGGTGTTCAGGAGGGATTGCATTACTAGAAGCAGTAGGCATTGTCGAACCGGGTGATAGAATCTGTAAATCACAACATAAGTCAGCATCCAGCATACACGTTATGAGAGATAGCAAATCTGTAGGATATACCTCTTCGACGAAATCGGCCTTGGATGTCTGCAGTAATTGAGACTGCAACACTGTCAGGAAGCCTGCATGGTCTGATGGGGGCTCCCCACGTAGCTTTTGGGCCTCACGGTAAACGATGAAGGCATTAGTAATTCAGAATTCGGGTCCGCCGAATATTGAGTTGGCGAGACGCCTGCAAGCTCGTCTGCGTGCTGGTCAGATCCACAGAATAATCTTTCGGATTCGCGTCCAGTCCATTGTGCGAGACCTTATGTCCAAGGTATTCCACCTTGGACATCCCCCAGAAACTTTTGACCACACTGATCGACAGGTTCCACTCATCACAGGCTTTGAGTAAACCTTCGACCCGATCACATAGTTGATCCCAGTTGTTGGCGGGGATCAGGATGTCATC